GAAAGAGAGAAAGAGATTAGGAGACCGACAGATGTTTCACTTTGACCTTCTCCAAAGTGAAAGAGTTTGCTTTGGAAATCCCAAAACAGGTCCTTGTGATGTTTTCCAAATGAAACATTTTTGCTGTGTCTTTCAGACCTGCTCTGCATTAAAAGGAAAAGGATAACACGAGACTTTAAAAAGTGGGTCAAATTTGGTCCAATTGTCCGAAAAGTAGATTTTTTTTTTTTGTTATTATTTCTCATTTCACCAAAAAAAGAAATACTTGTTTTGGTTCTGAATCAAATTTCTTTTCCAATATTTAGGTTAGCCACTGAACCAAAAATATCTTAAGTTGTATTCCTTTCAGTACTGCACACTCTGTAGATCTCACTAAAGCCCATGTGCCTGTTAACATGCAGAAGCATCTGTCCTTCCCAGGGCACCACCTCTCTATCTGCTGGAATTTGACAGTAGGACTAGTGAAGATATTGTACGTTTGAGATCTGATGGTATGTTAAAATGCAAGAAAAATTTCTGAATAAAACTGTGGGGGGAGGGATCTTTAGGGAAGAGACTCTGTAAAGTGCCCAACTGCCTTTACTTTTCTAGAATTAAGCAGGAGGGGTGTGGAGGGCCAGTCGCTCTTCTCAGTCAAAAGAGGTAGACTACAAACACTACAGCTGGTGTGTAATTACAAAAAAAAGAAATTAATTCTTGCTTACCTGCTGTGGGTTAAGGAGGAAGGAAGGAAGGTCTGCTCTTACTAGGGAATTCTGTAACTAAAGAGCTCTTAGTTGTCCTGCTTAAGGTTAATCCTACAATCTTAATAAAAAACAAAATCATAGTTACAACCTTTCACTGGATGCAAGATGAGTTCTGGTCTGCTTTCAGCTATTATGAAAATTCAGACAAGACAGTGCTCCCCCCACTCCCACCTCCAGATGGCCTCCTCCTGTTTCAGAAACTGGCTCTGTTCACCTCTGAAAGACAGCCTAGGCCCCCAAGTGCCATTGCAATCAGCACCACAGCCTCAGATTTTTGACATCGCAGTACTCCTTCAGTCCTTCCCTAGCTAGGGAGTTACAATGGCAATACAAGTCTCTGCTTTTCCTGGGAGTACCCCAGTATGACAGCTGAGGAAACAACAAACTTAAGTACCCTTAGAAGTCCTCGCTTGGAGACAAACACTGTACTGAACATGTAATTCTGAGCCACAAGATTGGCTCCTTGCTGGTTTATTACATCTCTTTAAAACAACAAGTTTAGAATAGCCTGGGACTTTGCCATTCTCAGACAATATACACTCCGGCCCCCTTACTTTGTATTATTTCAGACAAAAAAAAACCCAAACCCAAGCTGTTCCATGAGCAACAAAACTAAAACGAAGCCTGAATTCCTATAACTTTTCCTCGTAACTCTCTCCTCAGCAGACTAGCTCCAGCTCCTTGCCTCTCTGCTACTCTCAACAAGCACAGGCAGCACCCGTCTGCAGCTGTGAGTGCCAGGACAGGGTGATGGATGCACATGCATTGACACAACCGCTGCCAACCCAAATGTTGTCCATGCTCTTAGCAGGAAGGGTTAGTTGGGTCACTTGTCTCTAGCTGTTCATCAAACTTCACAGACCTCAGATTGTACTGGCCTTGTCGTCTTGTTTGCCTTACACACATGGTTGAAATTGGTCACTGGGTTAAAAGCTACCAGTAGGTTCAGAAAGGTGGCATACACTGGCTCTGGTTCCACAGAAAACAAACCAACCAGCAAACCTAAGCCTAAGTGGCCTCTTGCCCTATCAATTTCTGTTACCAGCAATTCACAAAAGAGGTTTTGGTGTGTCCAGCCCCCGTCCGTCTCCCTTGCCTGATTCAAGAGGGCAGCAGTTGACCCAAGCCCTCAGTGAAGCTTGAAAACATTCTTCTGGTTCAATAGTCATGTCCTCATCACAGCCGCACTCTTCTATTACAGACAGTATATAAGCAAACAACATTGTGCATGCTTCTGCCTCTCCCTTTTGCCTCTTCTTACCTCTAATATGCCTTAAAACACACACAGGGAGCCAAAAGCAGACCAAATAGCCTAAACTCCACTTACATCCCAGCTTAGTGTTCCATGTTGCCTGGCTCCAGGCCTTCAGAAATGCTTTAACAAAGGAACCACAATTGAAGGAATTAAGTGAAATTCAGCCAATATGACCTGAGCCTCTGGAGCCCACCTACTTTGCCCGTGTAGCAAGGCTGGTTCTGTCATTTCACCTGAAAAGCTGCAGGGCTCAGGAATACAATTTTGATTCATAGTTAAACAAACATTTTCTTAACATCATTAAGGCGCGAGATTGGACACCATGGATGTAGCCATTTACTTGTTACAAGAGCTGCGGTTTAGGTGAGAGCCCTAAAACTACAGAAACCACCACGTACAATTCCATGATTCAAGTTTCTGAGTGCAGCAGAGTCTGGAACTGATTACGGTTTATACCAAATGGCACCAATACTTTTTACATCCATATGCACCCTTTAAAAAAAAAATATTAGTCCTTTTTCAGCCAGCCATTTCCTTGCTACAAAAAATTAAAATTGCTGACATGGTAGAATTAAATTCTGCTAGTTCCCTCATAATGCTGCTGTGTTAATGAAAATGAAGTTACTATAGAATGAGAATGACACACATTTCAGCTAGAAGGACATTTGATATGAATAGATACTTTCATGTTGGGATGCTATTCAGTGAAAAATTAGCCAATGTTAAAACTATTCAAAGTGAGTGCTAACATTCCTTGGGAAAAAACAGTTACAGCTGGATGGATCATTTCAATCCAAGAGACAAAACTGGCAGTCATGACAAATATTCAGCTAGTCAGCGGCAACTGACACAAATAAATTCCTGACTAAGAGAAGTCTTAAAACACTAAAGGCGCCAAAGTGGTTGTCATGACCTATTAGCTGCCAGCAATCCTCACCCTCATGGGGGCTTGAATCTGAGTTTTGAGGTCCTCACTGCCCCTTGAGTGATATCCATATGGCAGTAGAGGGGCTCCCCTCTTTGGCTCTCTTTCCTAACAACTCAGAAATCTTTCCTAACTTCTCAGAAAGAAAGGTGACAGATCCCATTAGAGCGTGTCACGGGCCTGATCTAGCCAGCAATTGAACCACAGTGTGTTCCTTCAAAGTGCACAGCAAACTTAAAAACCCCACTGCTGCCTCTAGAAGAGTCTACAGTATTGTTCTTTTAATAATGCCACCCACTTTGAAGAGTAGTTTGTACATGCTGGGGACTCTGCTACCACCAAGCAGGCCAAGGGAGCTATTAAGGGGCAATTCAAGCAAAGAAGAGGTGAATTCCTGTGTGTCACAGCGACTACTGCTGACTTCTGAGATCGTTATTTGGTATTTATATAGCTTTTTCTATCAGAAGATCTGAAATGTACCTCGGGAAGCTAAGTGATGTGTCCAAAAGAGAAGCAGAATAACTAGGAGTGAATGAGGAAACTCAGCCATTTGCTGAAGGCTTCCCAATGAGTGACTATGTCAGCTTGAGAGAGCACAACAGCGTTCTTTGGGAGAATGCCAAGGACAGGGCTACAGTCACTGCATTTGCCTGCAGGAATAACCTCACACAGCAGGAGAACTAGAAAATTTGGACCCTCCTGGGGCACCACCTCCACAACTGGCACAGGCTGTGTTTGCACACCAAGCTGTGAAAGATCTTGAACCCCAACACCACACCACCCCCTCCAACCTTTACCATTTGAGTGCCCATGTACCTAAAAGAGAATATGTGTTGAAAGAGGATTTTCCTGTGATGACATGCATTAATAAGTGATTTTACTATCTGTTGGGGAAAGAATGATGTAAACCAAAGAAATGCAGGATGTCAGTCATGTCAGATTTCCTTCAAGACCACTGAATCACCAGATATGTATTTTGACTCAGAGACTCTTAATGGAAGTCTTCAGGTTGCATGTTCTGTCCCAGCTATGTCTGGGGCCTGTGATTGCTCTGTTCTTCTTCCTTTCAAGCTGTAGGGCTGGAAAGATACCTCTGTGCCTCAGCAGCTGAGCAACCTCACTGAACTTTGCAGTTTGCCCTGCCCAAAGCAGAAGATTGTACTAGGGGCCTCCAGAGGTCCCTTCCAGACTACGTTTTTCCATGAGAGGAGGCTGTGACTTGACACAGCAGCCTCTGCTCCCTATCCTTACGTGAGACAGGGAACTGACAGAGGGGATGTGACCCCCTTTCCCTTCTTCTCCCACACCTAAGCACATGCCAGGAGCATGCCTTTCACTTTGGAGAAAACAGAACACCAATCTACTCAGCCCGTCTCAGGAGAATCCCATCCAGAAGGAGCATTACGCACAGCATGCACTGTTGCTTGCTGTCAACCAGTATGTTCTTGAAGAGTTAAGTGACACCCTCCGGTAGAAGGTAAGTTCTGCAGTAAAGTTGTTGTCCTGACAAAAGACACAGAGGACAGAGGAAATTAGGATATTATTCTTTCTTTCTGCACTGACTTTCCCTTCCCCTCAAGTCATGCTTCACCACATACTGCTTTCCATTAGCTCTGAACCAAAGA